ATGAGATTAATTGACTAAGGAACTAGGCTATGGGGACATTATAGGATTGTTATGGACTGTTATGCATATATGTCTAGATTTTGGTATTGTATACAGCTTTATTAATGTTATCGCTATTTCATTGTTGTATATTGTTGTACTGATTCTAAAATATTGGTTCAATAACCCAAATTTGAGGTGAGTAAAAAGAGTGCCATACGCGGGATTTTATTTCACTGCGAGAGTATCAAAGTTCCGTCATCGAGGCCCCCGATATTCAGTTGTCGCCTCTGTCGTCGTTAGCCGCTCAAAGTTCCATTCGCCGACCAACGCTGCTACACCAGTCATGAATTTACTAGTAGCAGCGAGTGGTTTCGATTTTCTGCAACGCCGAGTCTGGCCCAGTTCGTTTAACGGTTAGTCCTCTTCGTTCAGTCGTCAGTATCAACGCTTGTCGCGTTGATACTGGCCGTCAACAAAGGTCAAGGAACCCGTATTGCACAGACTGCGCGCGCTTGTGTCATAAAACAAAAGCACCTCAGGTTATTAATCCACATTTTCTTTTCCTCTCGTTTCTTCTCTCTCCATCTTCTACATTAAAAGCACTATAGCTTCTTGCGGCGTCAGTCGTCTCTTCTTTATTTATCGCTCAACTGATTTTCGTTTCGTGAAGCCTCAAATTAACGTGCCAGCAAAGTCCTTTTTAAATTACTCGACTTTTTTTTATAAATATCATCCTTATGGATATACCCAGTTCTGATCATCCCTCTCCACTTGTAAAGCACTTTGAAAAACTAAATGCCGAAAATTATGTAAAAATCTCGGATCTCCTTCAGGTCCTCAGTAAGCTGCGCGTGCAGGAACAAGATAACCAAAGATGTCTTAGGGCTCTGCTACGGAAGAACATTGAGATCAGAAGTGACCTCTCGCACCTGTGTGCACAGGATAGTAGTGTTCTCGCACAAATTGCGCAGCATCCCACCTTCAATCAAGAGAAAGAGGGTAGAACTGCGCAGTCTGCTCAAGACCTTTCTCAGCGGCGCCAAGCCGCTCACAAAAACTGTTCAACACACAACAAGTTATGCACTGCACCTACAGCAACCGCTGCACCCAATACATCTCCTGTCCAAGACGGGGACATTAACATGCTCACTAATGATGCTCGCATATATATTGCGCCGTTCAGCGGGGATGAGACTGTACCATTCTCAGGCTGGCTCTTAAAATTCAACGACTATGCGGAAGGGCATATCCCACCCTCGTCCAATGAGAAGAAAGCACGCAAACTACCACTTTACTTGGTAGGACTGCCGCGCCAGCAATATAAATCCTTCACGGAAGTAGAAAAGAGTGATTTCAACAAAGCAACAGAGAGGCTTCGTGCCATTTATGAATCACCTGCGCAGCGAGGCATTGCTAGACAAAAACTTTATCAGACTTATCAGCGTAACTCTGAGTCTGTGCACGAGTCTGTTGAACGCCTTCGGCAGCTAGGCACTGCAGCCACATCGGGACTGAATGTCTCTATGTTTAACGATACCTTACGGGATCAGTTTTTGAATCGATTGCACCCAAAATTACGGTATCATGTCAAGAGGGAACATCCGTTGACCCTTGAGAAAGCCTTTGAGTCTGCTTTGGAAAATGAATGTTTTCTCAAACACCAGGAAATAGCCGAAAGAGATTCTTACCCACACAACACTCGTCCAGCCCACTCCTCACACAATGATATACCCATTCAAGGAACCTTTCAATCGGAAATGATGGGATTATTACGCGAGATAAGAGATAAATTAACACTGACAGAGAAGAATAGGTCAACAACAATGGAAGGTAATGTAATAAACGAAATTTGAAGTGGCTTTCGAGACCGCAAACTAACACACGTGCACCAAATAATCGTTACGGTGTTACACGACGTGATCGAGAAGTTGCGTACAGTTAAAGACGATATGAGAGAAATCACGATGGCAGACCATACTGCACTTACTGCCATAGGTTAGGACATCTAGAATACAACTGTTATGACCGTATGGCGCCACGGCCAACGCCACCGAGGTACAGGGATGAGCCGATCCATAGTCTTGACCAGCGTCCTCCTACACGTGTGGGACCACGCAACCAACGTTGGCACCGAGATGATTCAAGGGACCGTCAAGCCCCAAGGCACATGGGGCTTATGGAACGGTCAGCATCACGCGGTCGCCATACCGCTCGAAGATACAGGGATCATGACGGGGAACAACGAGGCTACGTAGGTGTACTTGATCGCAGCCCTAGCCCCAAAAATACGTTCGACGCGACACAACTGCGTGCACTCCTGCATGAAAGCGTTGAATGTAAGCACGAGCTTCCTCCTAACATTTTGTTCACAACCGACAAAACCGTTCAGGAAGCTGCTCACAACAAACAAAGCGATGATGCATCAAGCCCACCAGAAGCGCATTGAAGAGCGGCTAGTACTCCTGCCCTCAGCTCAAGTCTTAGGCTATGTGAACTCTGTTCAGCTGAAACTTTTGATAGATACAGAAGCAGCAATGTCACTGGCGCCTTCAAGATTATTGCAGATACTTGTCACTAAGCTCCTCCCGCAAAAATCTACTGCTTTAGGTGTTTCAGGCCATTCCCTTGAGATTGAAGGCACGGCAGTAGTGCGAATTTAGAAGTCAAGTGCAGCATGAACTTTTCTAATAAAGCACACATTAACTCCACGGCCGCCTATAAAGTCATTGTGGGTTGCTACATTCTCAAGTTGTTCCCACCACTTGGCATAGACATTGCTAACCAGAAGCTTACTATCAAGGGACGCAGCATTCATCTCGGATGACGCCGATGTCCCTCACCCTCAAGTTGTGCCGTCCGGGTACCTTCTAGCACCAGCGTACCACCAGCTGCTGAAGCCTTTGTTCCATGCGTCCTGGATGGAAATCTTTGCATGAACACATGCGCCCTCCTTATTGATAACGTGGACTCCCGCATCTCCACTATACAGCTTTTAATCACTCCGGGAGTTATAGGTCCAACTAATGGTAAGATGTACATTCTTTTGTCCAATCCCACGAATGAACATATCCAACTGCGAAAACATATGCATATTGCTGGCGCCACAACACTGGCTGAGTGTGACGGAATATTGACTACGGTAACATCTGAACCTTTGCCCCCAATTGTCCCTACCTTGACCTCGCCTGAAACGCCTGTCTCACAAGCAGACACTGACCCTACTTATAATATTGACCTCGCACAATGTGACATCAGCCCTCACCAAATTGAAGCATTAAGAAAACTTACAACTAAGTACGGGGAAGTATTC